CTCTCTCTCTCTCTCTCTCTCTCTCAATATATAGGGCTTGACCCCCCCCCTCTTCCCAAAGCAGTATCCTTACCTCAAGTATCTTTGTTGACTCAATTCGTAAACATGTTTATGCGCTGTTGTTGCGTAAGCGATCTAGAATTTATTTTGTTAGTAAAACTGATGATGTAACTGACCTTATAATACGTAATGTGCAAGCTCAAACGATCTTCTGAAAAAAAATCTTGATTATTTATCGTATGCTATTTTTAGAAGTCTCGTCTGTGTCTGTCTGGGCTGGGTGTACAGCGCTTGCGTCTCATGTCAAATAAATTTATTGTCTGTGGTTGGTTGACGGGTGCTCTGACTTTTGTCTATCAAACATCTATCGTTGTTACAAAGCTTATATATTATCTCCTCTTTTTCTTTGTGTATACCACTCTGAAATAACACCTTTAATTATAGTGGTTGGTTGGCGGGTGCTCTGGTGTGGTTCGCTTCTTCTTTCGGACTATCATACATCTGTCGTTCTTATCTCTCCTCCTTTTTTGTGTTTGTTACTCTCTTGTAACATCTCTAATCTTCGGTACTTATATGACCTTTTTGTGTTGCAAGTGTCGTAAAGCCTCTACTAAAACTTTAAAAAAGATATATCGTTGTTACTGAGCTTATATTTTCTCCTCTTTTTTTGTAAACCGCTCTCAAGTAACACCTCCAATTTTTAAAAAACTTATGTGACCTAATTGTGTTGCAAGTGCCGTAAAACTCTCACGAAAACTAAAACTAAACTAAACCGAATGGTCTAATTCGATTCTTAGCATGGGCATGCACCGCTGGAAATATAGGGTATCCATGTCATTTATTGGTAAAGGTATTAATATCAATTATACATGAACTTGGATTTTCCCACATGTATGCACGGGAAAGGAAGCTCTGCTTTAACGTCAAAATTTTAATGCCACTTCTTGTGTTCTTCATACTGGAAAGGTCTGCCAAGACTGGCTGGTCTTTCAAATGTGAAATCTTTACAAACTGAAGTTACCCCAGCGTGTCAGTCAGTGCTGATGTGTGAGGAATACGCCTCTTCTCTGCAGATGCATTGTGGTCATCGTCAGACGTTGTCGGACGAACAATTTTTAGGAACGCTCATGTGTGCTAAACGAAAAGAAAATTAAATAGTTCTTTTACATGGGGTGACAATAATTATGAATGAATCCTTACCTAAAAACAAGGAGGGCGGGGAGTAAGTGTAAGGTTTTTTAAACTCCCCTATCAACACTATTAGGTTATTAAAGAGGAGGCATGTCATCCGAATTCGATGTCCGAGACCGGTAGGACTGAGCCAAATAGGCTGAGAGTCTAGAAAACTCCACAAAACTTCAAGAACGCCCATCCTTGGATTCGAACTAGGGTCATCCGGTCCGCAGTCCAGCATGAACTAACGGAACACCAAAACTGTGGAGATTTTGGTTAATATAATAAATGGTATAATGGAATATAATGGTATAAGGGAATATAATGGTATAAGAAATAAAATGGTATAATGAAATATAATGGTATCATGGAATATAATGGTAAAGTGTGTCTTCAAACACAGCGTGCAGTAAGCTGAAGGGGAAAAAGACCCTCCTGGTTCAGTTTGTTAAAAAAAAAAAATCAACGTCACAAAAAACGACTATTGCACAATACCAGAAAAGTGGTGCTGTTCAACGTCTCTCTCTGTCTCTTTCTCTCTCTCTCTCTCTCTCTCTCTCTCTCTCTCTCTCTCTCTCTCTCTCTCTCTCTCTCTCACTGTGTGTGTGTGTGAGTGAGTGTGTGTGTGTGTGTGTGTGTGTGTGTGTGTGTGTGTGTGTGTGTGTGTGTGTGTGTGTGTGTGTGTGTGTTGTAGATATCTTGGTTCCAATCTTGTCTCAGTCTCAGTCTCTGATTTCGTCTTGAAACTTCCATTTAGAAACTCAGCAGTGTGACCCAGAACGAAATCTTTATCCACGTCTGTGTCAAGAGTATTTAGAAGCAACAGACTCAGAATGTCGTC